ACGGTAGTCAGAGTTTCCAAATTCTAAATTCTACAGCTTGCTTAAACAAGTCTTTCCTCATCACTTAGGTAACAAACAAATAATTAAGGTTCTTTGGGGGGCATAAATATGTCTTGAATCATGCAGACCAAATCATCACAGAACTTTAGAGCTGAAAGAGACCCTTCAAAGCTAATCTAAATTATTATCCCTTGCCTTCCAAATTGTTTTATCATCTGTAAATTTACTCTCCCCTATGAGGTAAGAATAATCTGCCCTAACTTGTCTTTAGACTCTGTCTATAGGAACACCCTGTAGGTAAATGCAAATAAACCGGGTGGAGTAGACTCACAAACTTGGGATCTAAAAGGATAATTGAATTTAACACAATCAATCTTATAAATTTAGTAAATGTCTCAGATTGTACTTTAGAAAATTACAAGAATTTCCAAGTCCAAAATGAACAGAGGACTCACCCAGCACATACTTAAAAATAAATAAATTTTAACAGAACTTAGCAATCTTAATGGGCTCAATGAGTCAACAACATAATGTGGCTGCCAAAAAGCTACTGTGATTAGGAACTAACCACATCAACATCAGTATCCCATCCAGAAGGAATGAGGCAACTCCCCTTTCTGCTACAAGCTGGTTAGAGTACATCTGGAGTATTACATTCAGCTCTGTTCCACATTTTGGGAGAGACACAAAAAGACTGAAAAAGACTAGAAGAGGGCAAGGCACAGTGGCTCACGCCTGTAATCCCAGCACTTTTGGAGGCTGAGGCAGGTGGGTCTGCTGAGGTCAGGAGTTTGAGACCAGCCTAGCTAACATGGTGAAACCCTGTCTCTACTAAAAATACAAAAAGTAGCCAGGCTTGGTGGCAAGCACCATAATCCCAGCTACTCAGGAGGCTAAGGCAAGAGAATTGCTTGAAACTGGGAGGTGGAGGTTACAGTGAGCCAAGATCACGGTCATTGCATTCCAGCCTGAGCAACAAGAGTGAACCGTTGAGTCAAAAAAAAAAAAAAAAAAAAAAAAAAAGGAGAAAAAAAAAAAAAAAAAAAAAAAAAAAAAAAAATACTAGAAGAGAAGTAACCAAGATAGTGAGAAAATCTGAAACCATGTCACAGAAAGACCAGTTGAAGGAGCTGAAGTTATTTAGCCCAGACTGAGAGGTAGCATGATCCCTGTCCCCAAATCCGTAAGAATTGTCATGGCACAGAGACAGCTGACTTTTTCTGTGTGGCCCCAACTGGCAGAGCCAGATCAATCAGCTAACGGAAAGAAGAAATTTCAGCTAAGCCTATGGAAATATTTCTTCAAATGTAGAGCCACATTAGGAGGTAGCGGCATTTAAAGTCCTGTTTTGCCCTAAGGGTCCATAATTTTAAAAATCAAACATTTAGGCCAGGGACGGTGGCTTACACCTGTAATCCCAGCACTTGGGGAGGCCAAGAAGGGCGGATAACCTGAGTTCAGAAGTTCGAGACCAGACTGGCCAATGTGGTAAAACCTCATCTCTATTAAAAATACAAAAATTAGCCGGGCATGGTGGCAGGTGCCTGTAATACCAGCTACTCAGGAGGCTGAGGCAAGAGAATCGCTTGAAACCCAGGAGGCAGAGGTTGCAGTGGGCCAAGATTGTGCCACTGCATTCCAGCCTGGGCAACAAGAGTGAAACTCCATTTCAAAAAAAAAAAAAAAAAATCAAACCTTTGTCATTACCTCAGTGTGTTACTGCTAATTGTTACTACTTCTGGTATCACAGCATCTCTCTTCACCCTGCTTAAAATGTCCTACCCAGCTAACCAATCAGCTGAATGCTTCGCTGGGTTTGTGGGAGAAAAAGTGCCTGCTTGCTGGGCAATTAGTTTCAGTTTGCAGATCAGTGTACCTGTAAACAAAAGAGGGCCCTAATTGAGGAGCAGGCAAGAGCTCTCGGCTCAATCTCCATGAAAGAAACTATTAATTCAAAAAGAATCTATAAGACCTATCCAATCAAATAATATCAATGGCACTTAGTTCTTACAGGAATGCTGAAATAAAAAAATACTGTACAACCATCTTCTCAAATGCCAGGGAATCCAACTTTGCAAGCCAAACCAGTTCTCTCAAATTCAATTATAAGTTTTCCTTCTGCCAGAGAGATGTTTACTGTTCAAAGCAGACTGGAGCCCATGTTCCATACTTGATCAGATCACTGTAAAGTCAGTTCAGCTGCTGAGACACTGGCAATCCAGAGTGAATTCACAGAAAAGTACAAACTACCTAATATTTAAAACACAGGAAAGTTACTGAAATTGGACATCCTTCTAAAATTTCTTCAACCAAAGACCACCACGGACATAATATGTTAGTTCATGAAAATTACTAAAAACGCTGAACGACAGTTCAGATGGCAAATAGTAATCAAATGAGCTTTACTTCAGTTTAAACTGAACTGGATTCTAAGCAACTCCAGTGAAATTATTAGAGAATATAGTAAATGTATGACAGACTTAACAAAAATACTCTGTGCTGCTTCCTCTCTGGGCTTTTTTAAGCGAAGCCTAGAAGCATCTAAGTGTCCATAAATAAGGCCTTGGTTAAATAAATTATTATACATTCTTACTCTGGAAAATGCAACTATTGAAAAGAATAAAGTAGACTCTAGATACTGACTTTTTTTTTTTAAGTCCATGATACACAGTTAAGTGAATACCACAAGTTGCGAAACATGTAGAATTATTCAATTTTGATTTTTTAAAATCTATTTTTAAATACCCTGTGTGTATGTTCACATATGCCCAGCAAAAACAGCTGAAAAAAGATCTGACAAATTGGTAACAGCAGTAACTTCTAAGGACTGAATGAAACTAGAAGGCAGTGAAAGAGTGACTTTCCCTTTTTCCTTTGTGGACTTCTGGTTATTTATATTTTTTTGCCTGTAGGGGTTACCTTTGCGGTTTAAAAATAACAATACAAAAATAGTAAAAGTAAAATAACATGAATTAAACACATTTATTTATCAGATACTAACCAAAGTACGTGATCTTGCTACTTAAATGTTTCTGTATGCTTAAAACTCCAGAGAATCAAATTCATTCTTTTTCTATTATATTTTACTAAAACAAATAAAAATCACCACAAGTCCCTATTAGTTTTCTCAAATACTTTCTATACACACACACACACACACACAGGCCTGGTCATAAGCATAGCTAACACATACAGTGATTATTTTGCACTAGGAACTGTTGTAAGCACAGTTTAGTGTATTAACTTATTCAATCTTCCCAGCAGGCCTGGTGCAGTGACTCATGCCTGTAATCCTAGCACTTTGAGAGGCCGAGGCAGGAGGATTGCTTCGGTTGAGGAATTCAAGACTAGCCTGGGCAATATAATGAGATCCCATCTCTACAAAAAATTAGCTGGGTGTGGTGACTCACACCTGTAGTCTCAGCTATTCAGGAGGCTGAGGTGGAAGGATTGCTTGAGCCCTGGAGGCAGAGGTTACAGTGGGCCAAGATTGCACCACTGCACTTCAGTCTGGGCAACAGAGCCAGACCCTGTCTCAAAAAACAAACAAAAAAAAAGTCTTCATAGCAACCTATGAGATAAGTACTACTATAATATTATCTTCGTTTCACAATCTAAGAAACTGAGTCCAGAGAGCTTCAGTGGCCTGCCTAAGCTTACACAGCTAACAAGGGGAAGAGCTATGATTCAAACCTAGGAATAAACTCCAGAGTCCATATTCTCAACCACTATGCTTCCTGTCTCTCAGTATTATGTCAATCTCTCCATACGAAAGCCAAAAAGGGTTACAGGTAAAACCCAGCTAGCTAATACTATCCTTGAAGCTGGAAGAGATGCACCTTTGGCTTCTTATGGGGGAATAATCCTACTTATGTCATTGCGAGTTCTAACCCAAGACTCAAGACTGTATTAAGGCTCATAACCATGTGAGAGAATTCTCTACACACTCAGTTATAGTCCAAAGTCCATACCTGCCTCCACTAAGCCTAAGATTTGGGTCACAGACCCAGCTAGACAAACGATTTGGACAAATCTCCACCCAAACTCAAAACAAGAGAACTCAGAAACTTTTGCCTAACATCTCGACAAGGTAGGTTTTGTTTTGTTTTGTTTTAGTTCTAGGTCCACTCTAGATTTAAACGGGGAAAGAACAGGAGTTGTCTCTAATTTTGCTTCAAGACTTCAGCAAGAAAAGCCTTTTCCAGGTGGGCTCAAACAGAAAGTGGCATTTATCAACATCAGCAAAGTTGAATATCCTGGCTTAAGGAGACAAAAATAGGCATCCTTGTTTAAATTGTGTATTTGTCCAAACATGTTGACCTTACACTTGTGGAAGAAAAAAACGGTGCAAGAAAGAGATTTAACCTAATTTATAAATGTGCCCAACCTAGATACACACCTGTCCCAAATGACCTACTGAATCCACTTATTTGCAGGGACAACATGGCTTACAATGCCTTTTTTTGTTTTTCTTTTTTGCCCTCAAGTGGTCCCTATATTGTTTGTAAACAAAGTCCTCTCACTACCTCTCTTCCATCTGATATTTACATAAACAAGAAGAAATGACCAGGGAAACGAGCTTTGAAAGGAATCCCTTATCCTCAGCTTTTGACCCAGTGGTTGAAGGAGGTACTATGCGGGCTTTCAAACTTCCTCCAAATAACACAGGCAGAGAGACTGGGTGCGGGAACCCAACCCAAAAGTTTGCGCCCATTCTGGGTCTCTGAAAAAGGCCCGAAGCCCTGTTGGGAAGAAGATGAGATGCCTTCCACCCAGCAGCCACCCCCTCCCGAGGGAGCACGGCCCACGGGGGACAAAAGACTTTCCAGATTGATTGGGGGCAGGAGGGGGACTAGCTGGAGCTGGGATCTCCCCTCGGGAGCCGAAACATGGGGAGACTTTGAGGCAAGAAACGATAAATTATAGGCAAGAGCCCAACCCCCTAGATGCCGGGGCTGGGGTGAGGACGGGTCCTGCCCAAGAGGGAGCGCCGGACTCACCTGGAAGAGGCGAAGAGGGGGCCTCGGTGGCAGGTGGGGTGGGGAGGATGCCGCTGCCGCTGCTACTGCTGCCGGGGAGAACGGGGGTCGGGGTCCGGGGAGTGGTGGGCGCCGGGATGGTGATCGCTACAGGGGTGGTCGGCGCCAGGCCAGTGGTCGACGAAAGGGTGGTTGGCGCGGATCTGGTCCGCACCTGAGAGGTGGTCGAAGTGCGTTCCGCCGCCAGAGGGGTGGTCTGCGAAGGGCCGAGCGGCGTCTGAAAGGTGGTGGAGGCGAGTCCGGCCGTCGCCCGAGGAGGGGTGGTCTCCAGAGACCGGGCTGGAGAAGTCGCAGCCAGGGGTCTGTGGACAGTGGGGCGCGGGGGCCCGGTCCTCGAGGCCTGGGCCGTGGGAGCCGTCGCCCTAGGGAAAGAGTGGCTGGGCTCTCCCCGCAGCCCGGGGCCCGGCGATGCGTCCACCTGCCCCGCGGCCCCGCCGCCACCGGTGACATTCCCCGCCGAGGCGGCTGAGGCGGCGGCGGCGGCGGCGGCGCAGCACAACAGGGCGAGGCCGCCCAGGCTCGGCAGGCTCCTCATGGCGCGCTCGGCTCCGCCATTCATTCATTCAGCCAGTCGGTTGGTCAGTCATCTTCTGCTCGCTGCAATCCGACCAAGGAAGCCTCCGCAACCGCCGCCGCCACCGGGCGCACCATCGCCACCTCCCTCTGACAGGCGGCCGGCCCCGCGGGCGGGCCCCAGAGCGGAGGGAGCGACCGGACCGAGCGCGGACCGCCCGCCCTCCTCGATTGGCAGCCGCGCCTAACCAATGGGAGGCCAGACTAGCCCACGTGATCCGCCTGCTTCCCGGCCTCTTTGTAGCCCTGTGGGCCAATCATAGGACGTCCAGGAGAGGGGGCGGTCCGTGAGGCGGGAGAAGGGTGGTGCGAGCCCAGCTCCAGCCCGCCGGGCTCGCGGCGGCCCCGGCTTTGTCTGCCCAAGGAATGGGGCGCGGGCCTCGGGCACCGGGCGCCGCGGAGCAGACAAAGGATGCGCCCCGTGCGGCAGACCCCGGGCCTAGTCATCTGCTCTACCGGGCTGCGAGCTCGACCGGGGGATGGAATCGGCACTTGGGAGCATCCCGGCCCTCGTGAACAATGGGGCGCCGGCGCCGCACCCGGTCTCGGGCGGGGACCGCGCGGGAACCCCGCGATGGGAGAGGGCGGCGGCAGCGAGGACGTAGAGCTTAGCATGCCCTCTGCTGCTCCAGAGAGCCTAGCCTCAGCCTTGCGAGGTCTCAGCCGCCATTCCCATTTCAGAGATGGGGAAACTGAGGCCCTTGCTGAGAGCCTCCCTGAACCGAGACCCACGCCCCCACCAGACACCTGCTGTGGGCCAGATGTTGTGCCAGGCTGGATGAGGGGGCGGGACCAGGCGGTGGAGACCCTTCAGGGCAGAAGATGCAGGCGTCCTGCGAGGAGGAGACAGGCTCGCAAGCACACTTATCTAAACCCTGGGAAGAATAGGATCAGACGGGGTTAACCTCAATTTGATGTCTCTTGCTGAATGGTTTTGTGGCCTGAGCGCAGTGTTTTCACCACTAAAATGAAGATGATAGGACACTCCTCACCCCCCTCACAGAGCTGTTGAGAGAATTAAGTCATGGACATAAAAGGCTTAGCCCAGCGCCTGGCCCACTGTTGTAAACCCTCATTAATGCTAACGACTCTCAGCGTTCTGTGCCAGGGCAAGCCTAGGATTAGAAAGTAGCCCCAGGCCCCAGCCCTGCAGTGTCCCCAGAGCCTCCTGCTGGTTGCAGGGATCAGGGTGGGGCTGATAGCCGAGCTTGACCCTGGATGACACTAAACCCTGGATCAAGCTGGAATTCGGTCACGCAGCCTCGCGTCATCCGTCCAGGATCCAGAGCTAGGTCAGGCGCTGCTGCCTCGGCTCAGCAGCTTCCAGGGGGAGCCAGGCAGGGCGGGTTTGTCATCTGATGGGGCTTAATCCAAGCCTCACTGCTAACTCAACCCCGGCCTTCCCTACGTGATGTTTGCCTTTGTGCATGGTTTCCCATTAGTCATTGGCCTTCAACCAGACCGGCAGGATGAGATTTCTATGTGAACCTGTGTATGTTAATGAAAGCATGCATTTATTTTCCTGCATGAGTAATGCACGGGGGAGGCTGTGTATGAATGCATAAACATGTTTGTGAGTCTGTGTTTATGAGTATCATATGTGTCTATGTGAGTTTATGAGTATGGGAGCTAGCATCTATTTTCATATATTGTGTCTTAATAATCTGTGCATGTGTACTGGTGTGTGTTTATGTATATTTTCTGTGTTTTTACATTTGTGGTTATCTTCGGGTGTGTCTTGATAGGTCTATGTATATAAGACAGTGGGAATAAGGGAGAATGTGTTCTGGCTTCAGGACCAATATCTAGCAAGCACTAACCAAAGTTCTATTTTTACTTTGCTTTGGGACAGTGGACAGGTCATGCCAGTCCCCCATATTCCCTTGCCCATTGTCCCTGACTCTTCAAACCCCAACCAAAATGCGACATTCTCTAAAAGACATTCCTGGATTTGAGTGGGAATTAATCTCTCCCTCCTCATTTCCCCACCATCCTTTGTTTATGCTTTGATTACAACCCTGATCTACCAATCTACCTCTCCTTTGCCTTTTCCTAAAAGAATTAAGGATGGCTTTCAGAAATACATACAATGGGATAAATCGAATTGCCCACATGGCTTTACTACTTCTCCTGGGCATGCATCTGCCTTCATGCTAGAACTTGTTATTTATGTGTCTGTCTCTTCCATCAGATATTCTCTCTGTTCTTAGTAGCAGGGGCAACGCTTGTAAGTGCTAATCCATGCTGGTTAAATTGAATTAAGTTGAAGTCTTGTAATGTTCATGGGAAGAGCTTGTGTCTTTAGAGTCAGACAGACTTGGGTCATGACTGCCAACTGTATGACCTTGGAGGAAACCTTTC